CATAATTACATCGTAACACATGAAAAAAAATAACAGAAAGAAAGTTTTTCATGATCATAAGAGTTTGTCGGATAATGGAGGATCTTCATCTGTTTATACTGCCAAATGGCTTGATGGTTATCCTCGTGAACCAAATGGATTAAGAACTCGAAATGGGCCGGTTACTATAGCACTTAAGACATTTGACTAATTATTTTTTAAATTGGTTATCACATTTCTAATCTATCAGCAATAAATTATTTTTGAAGGGGACCCTTTATTCATTACAAATTGTTGCAACTATACCATTAAGGTTTCGGAATGAAAATTTTGGATATACCATAGTTCCAGGAATGGGGATTGCTATGGTAATGGAGTTTTGTGAGGGTGGAAATTTAAGAAGGTTTCTTCGAAATAAATAGATTGATTTTATCAACAAATTTAACATATTGTTTTAATTTGCTGCTCTATTTTGGTAATGCATTTCCAAGGTCTTATTAATGGAGATTTACACTGATAATATCTTACTTACAAAAAGAGAGGTTGAACTTTTTTATCCAGTAATTGTAGACTTTGGTCTAAGCAAACTCTTAACTTGGAAATTAAAAAATACTCAAAATTTACTCTTTAAGGGCTATTCGCACTCTCAAGAGACTGATATTTATGCTCTAGGGATGATTATGTGGGAAATTTCTGCTGGTGAGCCACCATTTAATAATATACAACATGATTCTTCTTTAATTTTAAGCATATGCGATGGAAGCCGCCCAGAAATTATTGAAGGCATACCAACTTTTTTGGTGAAATTAATGCAAAGATGTTGGGATAATGACCCTAAGAAACGTCCAAATGCTGAAGAAATAGTGCATGAAGTTGAATCTGGATTAGAAGTGATTCAGAAGATGTCTCGAGAAGAATTTTATGAGCATTTAAAACGTGATTTGACAAAGAAGCATCCTAATACTGTCTATTTGAGCAAATTTATATCAATAATTACAAATAATGAAAATTCAGATTATGAATATATTATTCATGATATCCAAAGTAGGGATTTTAACTCTCTTGAATATAACCTAAAATAGCTTTATGACCATTTATGTCCAATGAATATATGTGTAAGCGTTTCATTAACACAAAACTTAATTCGGTTGACTAAGTAATATCGTTATAAATACAATGCCAATTTTTATAATCATGTAAAAAATCTCATTCATTTACTGTAAATGCTTAGATCGTCGATATAAGAAGCAGGGTTACACTAGCGTTAAATGAATGAATACACATTTTTATATTTTATGTAATGAATATACTGTATATTCAGTAATTTGTTTTTATTGTCTACGTAGAAATAATTGATTACAAGAAACCTAAAAAAAAGATGTCATGCGTATTCCTTTGTAGGTAAACAACGATCATTTAGACAAACTAGGGTTTTACCATTGTTCTTACAGATATCAATAGCGAAAAGGATATTTCGATTACATGTTTGTATCACAAACAATATATGTCTACCATTGTACAGAGGTTAAGAAATTACGATATGCAAGCCGTTAGTTTAGAATATACATATTACGTTTCACGTATATTGTTATAACCATATCATAATTAAAATTAAGATTGTTTTACATGAACAATAGAAATTTGATAAGATTGATGATGTAACTACTTGTTTGCCACAATAAAATCTCTTTATAAACCTTTCTTTTTCACTCTTAAGTAGATAGATAGCTCTAATTCCACAATTGATTATTCTTTGCGAACTTTTCCTTCCATTATATTATTACTACAGTATTTCTTTATATAATAATTTAACGAGCATTAAAGCTTGTCACGCTTAAATTAACAAAACATTTCTGAAAAATAAAATGGCGATTTCAGCAACAAACATTAGTCCTCAAACACCGTCATCGCCGAGACATTCTCGAGTATCGACGATGTCAATTACATTATCTACATCAGCACAACAAAAGTTGAACTTACTATTACAACAGGAAGCTGAATTTGATTCTAATTCTGCAGCTAATCAAACGTCCATATTTTCTGAGGAAGATTCGCCAAAATATCCAACTTCTGCTCACATACCACCAGCTTTAGCATTATCGGTAGACCCTCCAGCGTATGATGAATTTACAACAATTAACATGCCTACAACTTATACTAGTCCTAAAATTACACCCGATTCTCATTACGACACACTTCCAACTGATATTGATGCACCATGGCCCATAACTAAAAAATTATATTTCATGGGCTTTATATTTTGGCCTCTTTGGTTCATCGGAATGGGATTTTCAATATTTGGAAAAAGCCCTTCAACCAGAAAATGGGGTCGTCATTGTGCATGTAATTCAGTTGTGGTATTAATCGTATTTGCTTATTTAGTCACTGCTTATATCAGAACTAATGGTCGATGGACTTAATTTTATGAACAATTGATTTATTTAACGTTTCTTTCACTAAATTACACTGTAAATACTTACAATCTTTGACTTGATTATGACTTTTTTTCTTCCTTTGATAGGAATAAAGCAGAGTAAAATCGTCATTGAATTCTAACCACTACTTTCTTAATACATAATAATTATGAGTTTTGAATATTTATCAGGGTTAAGTAAAGAAACCAATCTTTTGTGGTTTTAGAGCTCAAAACATCAAAAGATGTGGATTTCTTTTCTTTCCTTAAATGTTTATTATTATTACTATTATATTGTGAACAATTATTTCTCAAATTTCTTTTCTAAGGTAGTTTATTTACTATTGATGTTTCTTATTTATTATTCAAGCCAACTGTTCAAGATGGCTAGAATTATTGCAAGAAGAATTAAACCTAAATTCTAATCCAAGATACATTTTGTCAATATACAGTATATGTTCTAAATAAAATGACAAATTTTATACAGTATAATATCTTTTCATGTTTTATAAAAGTTATAAGTGCCTAAACTATTTAATTTGATTGTAATAAAGAGTGTGACATCTATCTAGTTAATCGTATAAATCATATAATTAAATTTCAAGGGTGATATTTACATTGTACTGAATATGTACTGTATATACAATATATATATATCAAACACCATCAAACACCATAAAGCTGTAACGCACGTGATTATCACGAATTTATTAGTAAAAATGTCAACTTTTAAATATCGGGTAAGGAAATTTCAAAAAATTTCGCGTGACGAATATCGGGATAACACGTGAATGTCACGTTTTAAATCCCGTGACATC